GAGATTTGGTGATGACAACCTTCGCTTTCGGGTGCCGTTCAACTGGATTGAGGTTGAGTTTCTCGCCCAATTTTTGTCTAGCTTAACTAGGTTTCCTACGAATCCGTGCAGAAGTATCTGATACTGTCTTCGTTGACTCATCCGGTTAAGTATAGATGAAATCCTTCTACTTCTTCCGTCTTTCATGGGTAAATCTCGTAAAACAATGGGTCTTGTTGGTTTTGTCCGGAGGTGAGCCGCTATAAGTAACCGAACATCGATTCGATAGGGTTGATACTGGCTTTGTGATGAGTGGCACTTTTGCCGCCACTGTCCCTACCGGAACCATTGGTTCAGCATGTGCAGTTGAAGGTCTACAAAGGTCTACAATGGAGCTCGCACAATCAGTGGTTTAATAAGAAATGCATTTGTCACATTGCCAACCGGTTGTTGCCCAAGTTGATACAGGTCCTGACCCCACTGTAATTTCTAAACGGGCCTGGAACGTAATTGAAAGGTCACCAGTTAAACACACAGAAGTGTACCGTTCGCGGTGCGTCTTAATGCTGCTTGCAACGAAACAACTACAGGTGGTGGTTATACGTTCGTGACAACACCGCATACTGACGATTTCCTGGTCGTTACAAGTGGTCGGGCTTAGCGTATCTGAGACTCAATTGGGAGGTCTACATGGTTTGGACTCGGTACGTACGGACAGTGGGGAACGATTCCTTCAGCTGTGTGCTACTCACAGGCTGTTTTCATGCAGTACTAACTTCCGAAATAGCCGAAGTCGTCTGGCCACATGGTGTCCTCTAACGGCATGCCGACAACAAATTCAGATCGGTAGCATTGCCATCAGCTACTTACGGCGTGGATCACTGACTGCCGGTCGTTTTGGAGCACATTTATGGATTCTGACCACGCACTCGTCCGGACTCGTTTCTCCCCACGTTTTTCTGGGCCGCGTAAGGTGCCGACAAACCGCTTGGTAGAGGGGTATAAAAGAAGTCACGAGACACGGTGCTGTCGGTGCTACTTGCCTTCCGGGATGAGGACCGTGTGATCCTCACTGCACCTGTTTGGAGACGCTGCAAGATATGACTGCCACCCGATGTCAGTGGCGTTCCTGTTTTCAGTTTCTATCCATATAGCCTGAATGAGTGGAGATGTATGAATCTCGGAATTCTTCTAATAAGCTGGCACTAAGTCCCTTCTCTGTCCTCTCTTCTTCACAATAAGGCTTTCACATAAATCATGGCTGTACGGCAGCGAAGCACATGTGTTCAACATTGATGTCATGCTTTCGATGATGATTATGATGTTGATAATGATGATGACAATGAGCCTTTGTGTCAAGAGCGAGACGTTTTAAAAACTACCGACTGTTCACCAAGCCCTTCTGAAATGAGTTACATCAACTCTCTGAGTTCATCCATGGTTGGTGAATACCTTCGATGACCCTGGGTGAGAACTTCAAGGAATCACAGCGTATCCACTACTCATGGTAATTACCTAATCTGGGCACCGGTTCCTCCCTTTTCGCCTTCTTCACTGACTACTCGGTTGTGAACTTGAAAGGGACCATCTTTCAGCAACATTTTAGGCATACTCATATCACGAGTAACAAAAGTTAGTCAGGGCGCTTAGCTTATGGACGTAATATCTAGTCATATTTATTAATCGATGACGGGACTATCAGGGGGTCTGATGGTCCATTCTCTTCATAGTTTTTTACCCCTCTGTAGTACTCTAAAAGTCTTGTCACTGAACGAAAACTGGTGACGCCTTGCGTGCATCGAACCAACTTGGCTACCATCTGCCTCATCTACTACTGATTGTCAATTGTGGCTGCCTTATATCGCGGTGAACTAAGGGCATCTCACTTGATATCGACGCCCGCCGCTACTTGTCGACATGTTGATGTGTCAATACTCTGTCTTCCACGCTTTGCGCTTCAGATTGGCTTGACTGCACTGCACTTGGCATCGAAAGAGGGTTACGTCGATATCGTCGGGGAGCTGATCCGAAGGGGCGCGGACTTCGATGCACCCACGAAGAAAGGAAATACGGCACTACACATAGCTAGTCTTGCAGGTCATCTTCAGGTGGTGCAAATTCTACTTGACGCTGGAGCCAATGTAAATCGCCAGTCAGTGGTAAGTTATGGCCATTGCATGCTAACGTCTGCTTAGTGTCTATTGGTTACTGACGCGAAACGTAGAGTATGCCACAGATTTTGCAATTGAGTGTTTAGCTCCACAACTTTTCGAGTACGAAATAAGGTTAGTGCGTATTTGGAGACTATGCCTTGCTGGGGGGTGCAAAGAATGAAACTAGTATTGAGTTCTCCACGAGTCTTTGCCAGTCTTCTAAGTAGTATCGTGGCTTGCTGTTGTTTTCGATCAATCCAGTTAGTCGTACATGGTGAATGGTCCAAATCGAGCGCTCTATTTCATCAATATAGCGCTTTGATTACGTACCGTTGTTCTACTTTCTATATGCCTTCCTCGAAATTCCATCTCCAGATCGGTTTCACTCCACTGTATATGGCTGCTCAGGAGAATCATCTGGCGGTGGTAGACCTGCTCCTCAAACGTGGGGCGAACCAGGCGTTGACGACAGAAGTGAGTTTTTATCTGGTTTGCTTTGAAAGGACATTTGTAATGAAATATCTTCTGGTAAATTTAAGGAGCTTTCCTTTCAATTTCACGAAAGCTCTAAACAGTGAATAGGGTTCTCCGAACCTCTGACCTATCTTCCTCGACCCTCTTGAACAGTTAACATTTTCCCGCCCGAAGCTTCTACAGTTTCTCCTAAAAATATGTGGATAACGTTATTTGTCGTTGGTTGACTCATCCACATCTACCTCTTGTATTCGTGCGGGTATTGAATGTCTGGCCTATGTCGGGGGGTTCTGTGTTCAAACGTACGTTCTTTCGACTCAGGAGGACACGAGGTGGTAACTAGAAGATTTGGGTCTTATTTTCAGCTTCGTGACTCATCGTTTATTCCAGATCGCGAATAATGCAGATGGTGTTTCCTTCCGAGATACCTAATAAAATTGCGCCCAGGGGATGCAACATGTGGAAGTTATTTTTATAATGAATGCAAGCACTTATCAGCAACATTAGTCTAACTCTTATTCTCATTACAGTTTACAGCATTTAGTTCCCTTCCGTTTTCATATTTTGCAGGATGGTTTCACTCCACTGGCTGTAGCTCTCCAACAAGGGCACGAACGTGTCGTTGCCCTTTTGTTGGAACGGGATTCCAGGAGTCGTGGAAGAATGCCAGCCTTGCATCTCGCTACCCGAAAGGACGACGTGAACTCAGTCGCTCTGCTGTTGAACAACCCCGAGGTGAACGTGAATCATCAGGCTCAGGTAGGCCTCCACACTCTTCTCAGTTGACAGTTCTGTCACAGTATTATCAAAGTGGCTGCCTTTGGATTGGTTGTATTTGAGAAACCTAACTTCTCTTAGTTTACCGCCGTTCACCATGCTTGGCAGCATTGTGTGTTGGTTCTTTTCTACTTCGTTGGTGTACGTTATCATAATTTTTTGACAGGAGCCACCAACTGATCCTTGACTACGTTTAGACGCTGTTTCCATGCTTATTCGACTGACTGAAATAGCGTTTGTCGCTGTTACAAACTTCCGATGTTAACGACTTTATGTGTATCAACGTTCTCGGGGACTTCGTTTGCTTTGAACACAGGTGGTTTAGTCGATATTTTCAGCTTCTGTTTTTACATAGAGAATCAACTAGCTATTGATTTCTTCATCGCTTTCCTAAAGATACCTTGTTAGTATCATCAGCTGCCAGTGACTTCTTCACTAGCTGCGAAGCCCACCTCTTTGTAGGCATAGTTTGTTTTGTTTATTTTTGTGAGTCCACTTTGCAAGATCTTAGATGCACTTCTCTTCGACCTCGTCAGCCATGCTTATCCGTAGCGGCAGCGGATTCATACGATCTTCGGTTTTCGTTCACGTCTGTGGGTTCATTTTTATCGACATATACATTCCGGTTGCTTTGTGTCACTAGTTGGTGCTCGGATAACTCTGTGTTCTGTACAGACAGAATTTTGCTGATGTATCTATGTTTCAGCTGGGGCACAAGCTGTGTCGTTCGTGACCAGGGTTTTCGTGGTCTTAGCCTGCTAAATCTAACAACAGACCTCTCCAATATACTACATGCTACTGTGCCTGCGGTTGTAGACGGACAGGTTAAGTGTGCGATGTGGAGGATCTACGTTAAAAATCCTCTTTTTGGAGTTGAAGCCTATTTGGTCTGGTCGGTGCTTGTTATTGAGTGGCAGATAATTTCCATCCTCTTGTTGCCGCCTTCTAACCGCGGTCATTGATACTGTTTCAGCCACTCTCAGGCTCTCAGGACTGGCTCGGTTCCAGCACTGATAGATGTCTGCCATGGCGTGCATATCAGCATTAGAGTATAGGTCGTGTGCATTCGCACTGAGAGCCGAAATGACCCATTGCGTATATTTGTCATGGAGTTCATCTTGAAGCCGTTGGGCATTTCGGACAACTTGTAGGGTCTATTGACTAATCCTAAACAAACGTAATACCGTTCCAGTTGGCTTATTATTCTATGCCACTCGGTTTCGCAAAATCGTCGAGGTCCATTGTATGCTGCGCACTTGGTCGACTTTTTATATTCCGTCTACTGCTTTGCGCATAGCGAAAGTAAATTTCTTCACAATACTTTGATCCATTTCGTGCTTGATTATAAACATATGAAGTTGTTTCAACCTTCTACTTTTTCTGCGTCATATTTTGAGACTGTGTCAATAAACATCGGTGTAACATGTTTCCACTGCTTTCACTCCAGCATGGTTTCACCCCGCTGCACATCGCTGCGCACTATGGCAATGTAAACGTGGCCCGGCCCTTGCTCGATCGAGGCGCAGATGTCAATTATCAGGCCAAAGTAAGTGATCTGCTTTCTTGTCCAGTTTGTTTTATCAAACTTGGGCTGATGCGTATGGCAATGAAACGTGGCCCGGCCCTTGCTCGATCGAGGCGCAGATGTCAATTATCAGGCCAAAGTAAGTGATCTGCTTTCTTGTCCAGTTTGTTTTATCAAACTTGGGCTGATGCGGACAGTTGACTGGGACGTTTGTGCGGATTTCGGTCATCTGAGGGGAGTAGAGGGATTTTCACACGCGTTACGCCATCGGCAGTCGTTCGGCTGTGGTGAGAACTTCATGTGACTTCATGTGAGAACGATCAGGAAGTTTTACAGCAACGTACCAGCTGCCTGTAGTGGGGGTTCGAAATGCTTGATTCCCGTAAATGGGCTGCATAAATGTGGACCTGCCCTTGGGTTTCCAGCCCAGCTCGTGACTTATGTTTGCAGGGACTGCTTTCCGGCGGATTTAATCAATACCCACTGCCCCCTACGCAATTTTAGAGTCAGACAACTAGCTCGCTTGCACTTCAGTCTGACTGCACTCAGACATAAGCCGTAGCAACAGAGGAAATCCGAACAGGTGCACTGGAATTGCGCTTGTTGCTATTCATGTCGCGCTACGTGTGTGCGGCCTGTGACTGATTCGAGTGGTACTTATGCATGGTAATACACCATCATTTGTCAAACGCGATTTGAACGAACCATGAGTGGTTTTCTGTATGACTGTGGTCGTGGAATTTGTTGATGTGAGAACTCGAGAATGTAGCTTGGGGAGTAATGGTTGATTTTCAGAGTAGCTGTAAAAAAGACAATCTCGCGTGAATGTCAGTTATATACTCTGAATTTTTGTGGGTATTTCCTCCGTTTTGTGCCTCCCAAGAACAATTTACAAGTTTCACATAATCCTCGCACGTGTGCTAATGTTACAGGGTAATCGAGCAACCTCAGATAGTTCAAGCGCACCTGCTTGTGCATTGGTTTCAGCGTAGTTGACAAAGCCGGCGACCGAATCAGATTAGAACGTATGGGTGACATCGATCATCCCACTTTAATGAAGTGCTGATTTCTCATATAAGGACTTGTCTAGTGTCCCGTCATCCTTGTAAACTGTTCATGAATTTACTCGTTGAATGGGATCTTATCGAAAACACTGCTCGCACTTATCGTGTTCTACCTGCAGGTAGTAATACGAATTCAAGCGAGTGCACTTTGCACAACATCTCAAAGCGAAAACGTACTGAAAGTCACTGAGCTGCTTGATTGTTTCCCCAATGGGTATCTTAAGTTTCGCTGTGGATCAGTCATTTTCTGAGCCGCAATCACAGACTTTCAGTTTAAGACGCGGAAGCTTCAAGTGAATGAAGGTCAATCAGGCTGAAGTGAACAGAATTTCGGCAAATGATGTGGCCACTTTCAAGCATTACTTAATGTTCCACATCGCCCATAGTCTTGAGGTCGTTTGTGACCTATGTACGCAAGTTATCTTCCCGTTTTTACTCCGCCTGTTTTGGGAGAATTTATTCCGAATTTCGGCGATGTGGCCACTTTCAAGCATTACTTAATGTTCCACATCGCCCATAGTCTTGAGGTCGTTTGTGACCTATGTACGCAAGTAAGTTTCCCGTTTTTACTCCGCCTGTTTTGGGAGAATTTATTCCTTTTAATTTTATTTTATTTATTTTATTTATTTATTTATCATTTATTTATTTATTTATTTATTTATTTTATTTATTTATTCCTCTTAACCGCGCCGTAGTCTATAAAACTTGTTCATGACTTCAGTGTCAGATTTGGCAGTCGTAGTATAGTTAACAACTGGGTCATAAAATCAGTCAGCAATGTTATTTCATAATTGGATGAAAGCTTGGAAGGCTCGCCTTTTGGCGCATTTCCCCTTTCATTTCTAAGCACACTTGCTGAGATTCTGTTCATCTGTTGCCCTTTCCAGTGAATTTCATCGTCTCTCTCCGTCATCATTTCGCAGCTAACCCTGTTCCCTTTGTGGTTGCCCCATATTACTAAGTCCACCATATTACTAACTCCCACCACTTTGTTTCCTTACCATTCTCCGTATGCTCTGCATTTGTCCGTTTGTAGAACAACATCACTCCGCTTCATATCGCTTCCAAATGGGGACGTATTGAAATGGTTCGACTGTTGATAGCCGCGGGAGCTCTAGTAGACTGTCGCACGCGAGATGGCCTTACTCCGCTGCATTGTGCTGCACGATCTGGACATGCTGAGCTTGCCTCGCTGTTGATCGATGCTGGGGCTAATCCTTCAGCCAAAACTAGGGTAAGTAGTTGTTTTCAGATTCACTTGAGGTAAGTTGAAAGCTTTCGTTCACCGTCAAAGTATTTTTTATCTCAGGTGGTTATGCTGCAGGTTGGCCTGTTAGCTGAGCATGACGTTCTTCTTGCAGGCCACTCGTCACCAATCAAGGCGGCGTCATCCGGGTACCATCTCACCCAGCCGTTCTCTGATGAGGTTTTCTTTATCGGTGACGAAACGTCTACGGGCCAGTTGCCAAGCTCGACAGACAGACCAACCACCAAACATTGCACCCATGGTTTCCTGCCACTGTGATGACGCAGCTTGGAAGTGTCCGGCGGTTTTGTATATACCAACAGTCCTTGATTCTGGAGTCGCCAACGATGAATATGCTGAAAAGTCTGCATGCTTAAAGCAGGAATAGAAACAGCCGCTAGCAGTAGTTTTAGATTTTGATGAATATGATAAACCCGAGCACACCCAATATACAGACGGACCAATCACCTATTAGTCTTATAAGCAGTAACCGATGGTAGTCTGTTTTGAGCTAGAGAAAATAGATTGTTAGGATGAAGCGTTCTGAGAGGCGTTTATACACCTCAGATGTTAGACAAGCGCTCACATCCGGGTCAAGGCAGGATTGTCACCAGGATAGCTTTCCTGTGGAGGTGACGCACCAGTTGGAGTCGTACTCACTAGTACTGTTTGTTTAAAGCATACTCGCTCCGTTCTTTTCAGGGCCTTCACCGATCAAGTTTTTTGAAAACATGGTCTGAATAAGCTGGCATTTCGTGTGATTAATTAGCTTGTCTCTCGTTGAGAAAGCGTCGGATGAACAGCCCCACCACAGGATCCGTTTGTTTGGATACGGTGTACAGTAAGGCAGCTTCTCTTGACTGTCTTTCATCGGACTCGTTGTTACCACGTTTGTTATTACTCTGCTCTAATATCTTTTAAGCTTTGGCAGAATAAGCAAAAGTATAACTATCTCGCTACGTGAAACAGAGCCGTGCTTCAATCAGTTGAAAAAACGCTTGCCCGGCAATAAATCTACCGTTTGCCTTCAAACTTTTCTAAAAAGAGCCATGCTTCATTATGTCATAATTTGATACCTTTATATTAGTGGACGGATGTAAATCTTCCGGGGTCTACTCAGCTGATGGCCTACCAATTGCATTTTATGTCCGTCTATGGCCACGAACTAGGTCGCTGTTGTGTGAAGTCGCAGTAGTATGGGTGCGCTGAAGTAACAACACGATTGGAAACAATGATGGCAGCTAACTAGTTTCAACAAGCCTGAAGAACATGCAGGTGTTCTAGACAGGTGTGTACATCCATTCTGTTCCATTATTCTTTATATCACAATTTCCAACTCGTGGATGCGTGTATATCGGCGGAGAACAACCAACCCGCAGATGTCACATTCAATCTTTATCTCTACTTGGAACGTTATCTCTTGATCAAAATATTATAGTAAGATAAAATAAATGACAACCAAAACAGTTCCACACAACAGTTCAAAATGTTCATTTCTTGCCTGAAGATGATTAGGAGAAAATTGATGGGAAATTCTAGTGGATAATCAACTTGTTTACCAAAAGGTTCCTAATTTATCCAAACCTTATTCGGTGTGACACCCAAGTGTATGAAACTGCCTCATATACGGAGGGACAATGAAATTGACTGGTGTTTTCTAATACTTTGTCCAAGTGCCGAAGGCCGTGTTTACCGGCAGATGGCTCGTCAGAACGGTGCTCTAACAACAGGATGTCACTGCACTAGATGACTTCTCCCTGTTGATAGGGATGAAAAAGTTCAGTTGTGCCACATGTATGCCTAGGTAACATATACTCTGTGGACAGCTTGATGAATTACGGTTGAAACAACCAGTCACTACATGTATATTCCACAATCCTGCCTTCATTTTTGCACCCTGTGTTAACATGTTGGGCTTTTTCTTTGTCTTCTGTGGTTAGCAGTGGGGTGATAGCTTAAGAAAGGATCTCTGGGAAGCATGACACGATCCACATGATTCATTCACTAACCTTGTCGATAGATTCATTTTCAAAAATCACCAGCGATGTCGATCCAACCCTTCGTTTCTGCCCAGAAACCTATTACCGATGGTGCTTAGTTCCTCGATAGTTTTCACTTGCATGGAAATTGACCACATGGATGCCGTTCAATACATATTGCACACTGATCTCTTGTGGCTAGGCTGAATTGTGCAGCGAACGGGCAGCAAGGGGCTTCAGAGTCACCAGAACGACAGTGCTTACATTCAGTCCGACGCTTTCGGCTATTTCTCCTGGCAACGAAACATACTTTGACTGAATACAATTCTGTTGTGTTCGTGCGTATAATTTTCTAAGCCGTCTAAAATAGTCCCCTTCTAATGGAGCCTGTAGAAAGCAGTATGAAGTGGGTCATGTCAGAGGGATTGTCCTACTACGGAGCGAAAGATACTAGCCTGACGCTTGCAGATGCCATGCAAATCCCTACAGTCGCATTAGACAAGGAGCCGTCACAAGGTCGCCAAACAGAGAACTACTCTGTTGAAATATTGCTAGCTCGGGTGAGTTTATTGGTTGTTGATCAGGTGGCTGTTGCTCTGTTCGCGGAGCTTGGCAATCGGCTTGCATTTTTGGAGTTCTCTCGCTCTTAGTGGCTGGTAAAT